AAAATTAAAGACACCTTGGACAGATGGTGGGGTCCGGTTACAGAAGATATTGTGACCCCTGGTCTGGTCTCTGCTCCTGGTCCTTTCCCAAGGAACAATCTCTTCTGTTATCTGCTGGACAACTCTGCCACCGAGTCCGAATGGGTGGGGAGTGTGAATCCCCTAGATTCCCTTCTAGTCTGCGGCCAGAACTTTCCATTCAAACGCCCACCTCCGTTTTTCAGAAAAGGAAACAGCCCCAGCAGGGAAGTTTGGCACCAGCCGGGGGTCAGCTGGAATGGAGGTTTGCATGTCTAGGCCCCAGGGGTTTTACCCACTCATTCACCTCCAGGGCTCAGGCGTGACGGTGATGGAAAAGGTGAAGTGCAAGACAGAATCGGGACAAGTGGCAGCCAAGAACAGCGCAGAGGCCCCCGACTCGGGGACCAAGAAGGAAGTGAAGAGCTGGGCCCATTTGGGGCCTGCACCCCCTCTTCCTCCCCATGCCTGCGGCTTACCACCTGACCCCACCCTGGCTATGTGTCTCCCCAGGAGCAGGGGGTATCTGAGATGGGTTCTGGAAGGGGAAGGCTAGGCAGAAACTTGGAGGTGAGTGCCCAGCTCCATATGCTGCTGGCCACTGACCAAGCTGGGAAAGGTGCAGGCAGGATGGGCTGGTGTCTGCGAGGCAGGTCTGGTGGGCAGGCCAGGGAGAGGCGGGCAGAAACCGTCGAATGCATGGACGGAACGCGGCAAGGTCTGACAATAGGACAAGATGGGACTGAAAACCCCGGCTTCCTTTTTATTTTTAAGTTTATTTGTTTTGTTCCTGTTGTTGAGAATACACACAGCAAAGCCCACACCAATCCAGCTGTTTTTCTACACATACAATTCAGCGACGATGATAACGTTCTTTGAGTTATTTAACCGATCTCGCCATCCTTTTCTGAGCTGTTGCTCCACCATTAACATAAATTTCCTGCCCCTTCAGGTTCCTGTCTTTCAGGTTACTGTTGTCAGTTCCATACAGATCATTCTTAAAAGAACATAATGCTGTAGACAGACCTTTTTTTTTTCTTTAACTAAAGCTAAACTATTGTTTGGTTTTAAGTAGACTTCAGGGGCTATTTTTGGTTTAAGGTTTAAAATTAACTCAGGGTAATAGTTTCAAGAGTTCATCCAACTTTCATGGCTCCAGAAGTCTGGTTTCCATGAGCATTTGAGATCCTGTTCTGCAATTTCTCCCTTTTGATCAAAGGTTCTCTATAGAATCTTTGACCAAAATGCAGAAATCCATCTTCTGACTCCCACTCCAGTGCTCCTTCCAAGGGTGCTGAGCTATGACAATACCCAAAGAGGCTGGGGAAGGTGGAGTCCGGATCAGGAGGTCTGATGTATGTTGGGCGGGCTGTGGCTGACTGGTGAATGCACAGTGTGGTTTCCAGAAGAACAGAGGTGGTCTTGGCCCCATACCCTAGAGGGAGGGGCACCAAAGCCTGAGGAGCAGCTTCCACTAGAATAGTGGGGTGACCCTAGGGGCTGACATGGAATGGCCAAGTGACCCCAGTACCCAAGGCTAGTGCATGGGATGGGTCACAGAGAAGGGAGCTCAAAGGACATCAAGTCTAGCTAGTTCAAGGCTACAGACCAGCCTTAACTTCTGTACAAAGGAGCTTTCTGTAGGTCCTGGAGCCTGCCCTGTGTACAGCTAAGTGTGCTGTGGCTTCGAGCATCTGGGACCCCAGGGTGGTCTCTGAGGGCAGTGTCTGCCAGTGTTCCCTCAGCCTGAGTCTGGGAGCCCAGCCTTAGAGGCTGTAGACTTCCTCCCACGTGCAGGCCCGTGCTTCTGGAAGCTGCCCCAGGGTGAAAATGGTGTCTGAAGTCCCAGAAGATTGGGCCAAGCTCAGGGCTGACCCAAGACAGATACCCGAGAGTCGGCCCAATCCGCGCTGTTTCTCATCCCTAAATCCCAAAGCAACTGCTTACAAAGACATCAGGTTAAAAGCAGGACTGCTCTGAGAGCAAATATGGAAGAAATATGACACTTAGTTACAAACAGGAGCCTGGGTGGCACAAACGGTTAAGCACTGGACTACCAACCAAAAGGTTGGGGGTTTTAACCCTCCCAGAGGCACTTCAGAAACAAAGACCCACCAATCTGCTTTCCAAAGGCCACAGCTTTGCAAACTCTACGGAGCACAGTTCTTCTTTGTAACACATGGAGTTGCCATGAGTCAGTCAGGATTCGCTCAATGGCAGCTGGTTCAGTTTCAGGTTTGAGTAGCAAACGAAGCTCCCGCCCTCGCTAACCGTTTATCTAGATTCACTCTGGCGTAATGGAGGCTCTCCTTTAAAGGGAAACCCCACGACATGGTGCCCGATTGTTCCGCAACACAGGAGCTCGAGTACAACCTTCCAGGGCTGTCAGAGATGGTCTGGTCCGAAGTCAAAAGCGAACACGCCGAACAGTCCATGCTGGCTAAACACAGTGGCTCGGTGGCTCGTAACAACATCTGTGCAGGGCTCAGCAGGGCGGCAGCCCGGCTCCCAGGAAAGGGGCAGGTAGGTGCTGGGGTGAGGAGCCAAATTCAACTTCCAGGCCCCTGGCTGGTGGCCCACAGGGAGGGCAGGCCACCTCCTGCCCCCTCCGTCGCTACAACTGCTCAGGCCCAGCTGTCTTGGTGGTCACCAGCTCAGTAGAGCCCAGCTCTGTGGCTGGCACAGGGACACTGTGGCCCGATGGGGTGGTGGCTGCGTCTTCAGGCGGAGGCCAGATGGGAGCTGTGGCATCAGTGGGTCCAGGGGACAGGATGATGGCATTACCCAGAGGCTCTGGGGGGGCGGTAACAGAGGGTCAAGATTGGGTCACAGCCTTCCCCCCACCACCACCCTCTGCCCTGACTCCACCTCTGCAGGGCAGCCCTCAGACCCAAGAGATAACTGGCTACAGCCGGCTCTCTGTGGAGCAGGAAGGCGGCCCTGAGGACAGGAAGTGCCGAGTGTGCGGCCTGCTGGGGGGCCAGGAGAGTGGGGAGTGTGACAGGAGGGAAGGGAAATGGGGGAACCCAGGCTGTTGGTCCCACAGAGATGTGTGACTAGGCCCCTCAGAGTCCCAGAAGGCAGAACAGCCTCCTCCCTTAGACCCGGCTCCCTGTGTCCTTAGACTGGGATGGATGAAGAGCTGTGGTCCTCTCTTGGAGTAGGGTTTGAGGCGCAGGGCTATGTCTCCCCTTGAGCCCAGGTTCTAGGAGCAAGCTACTTCCCCTTGATGTGCCCCGTCTTTTAGAACCTCCTCCCCTTCATGCCTTCCCCACCGACGGCCTGGTCTCTCCCATCCCCCAAGCTGCACCTCCCCCTTAGGGCTAGGTCTTCCCTTTCTCACTGCCCCTGCCCCCAAGGCCCCAGCCTCCCCACCCAGACAGTCCCCACCCAGGGCGCCATCTCCACCCTTAGACTGACCTGTGGCCCCCTGGCAGATCGAACAGGGCCTCTCGGTTCCCCTTGATGCCCACTCACCGTTCCCGCTGCGCTCCGGGGCCTCGGGGAGCGCTACCCCGCCGCGCCGCCGCCTCCAGGTCACCAAGCACACCAGCAGCAGGGCCAGCGCCAGCCCCAGCAGCGCGGGGGCGCCCAAGAGCAGCCCGGGCAGCGGCAGCGCCCCCTGGGGCCCGGCGCCGGCGCCCACTGACTCCTGCGGCTGCAGCGCCGTCCCGGGCGCCAGGCTGCTCGCCTCGGCCGCTGGAGGAGGAGGAGACAGGGACGGCCGGGGAGGGGGAGGGCCGGAGGGAGGCGAGGCTGGGCCGGGGAGGGAGGGCGGCGGGAGGAGGGAGAGAGAGGGGAGACGGGCCACGAGGAGCGGAGAGAGGGGCGGTGAGGGCCACGCACGACCGCCGGGCCCCATCAGTGCCCTGCCCTGAGGGCCCCATCGGGCCGTCGCCCCCAGGGAGCGCTGGAGCAGGCCGGGATGCGCCCTGCGGGTCCCTCCCGGGGCAGGGGGCTGTCCTGCTGTCCCTCTGCCGTCACATGGGCCCCGATCTTACCCGGGCTGGGCTCCGGCGTCCGGAAGAGCTTGCAGGCCACACAGAGGCGGAGCAGCCGGTCGAAGCACTTGGCCTGGCCGCACAGGGTGGGCGCTGGCCCGTCCCTGCTTCCGATGTTCCTCGGTCCTCGCGCCATGGTGCTCTGGGGGCGCGCACAGCTGGGGCCGAGCCTGCCCTCGGGCGGGGCGGGCGGGTGGGGAGGAAATCGGGTGGGGCCACTCGCCCTCCCCACCCCTGCTCCGCCCCCTGCCTGCTGGGGTGGGACCACTCAGCCAGGGCCCCAGATCTCAGTCCTCCAGCCATTTCTCCATTGACTTAAACATCACTTGTACCCTTGCTGGGTGGTCGCTGAGCCTCGCACTGGGACAGAGCTGGGGGTCAGAGCAGGACCTGCTCTTGGGCAGCCAAAGGGGTCCGCCCTGCAGTTTGGATGCAGACCTCGCTTGGTCCACGTCACCAAAGCCAGCCCATGGCCCCAGCACTCCCCACCACCAGTGCCCACACCTCATTTACTCATGTCTCCTTTGTGAGCTGGTTTGGTTCTTGAAACCCTTCCGAAGTATCCACTCAGAACCAGGCGTCCAGCCTGGCGGTGGTGACACTGGAGGTGGTGATGGGGGGGAGGGCAGATATTGGCCTCACGGTAAAGGTCATCACCACCTTGACTGAAAGGCTTTGTAGAGAAAGTCATGAGGTGCTTGCTGCATGGGTGGAGGTGTAGAGGAGCACCCTGGGAAAGGGGCCGGTATAAGCAATGGCTTGGAGGGCCCCAGTAGAAAACCAAGGAGCTGGCTGAGGTCTGAGTGGTTGAGAAGGTTGGACTCTGACCTGAAGTCACTGGGGAGCCGCACAGGGCTTTAAGAGGCACTGTCACAGTCAGATCTGCTTACAGGAGCCTCTGGCTGAAGTGAAGGGGACACACCAGGCTTGGGGGAGGGCAGCAGAGGGACTAGGGACAGCTCAGTCTCCTGACACTTGCTCCAGGTCAACAGACAGACAGACCAAGGCCAAGCAGATGGGCTGCCCACCTGGCCTCTTCTCCCAGGACCATGTGTCCTGGCTTGCTCACCTGAATCTTCCCAGTCTTTGGCTCCCCCCATCTCTGTTCTCTCTCAGCCAGTCTGGGACCCCACACAAGCTCCCTCTGCCTTCTACAGAGGGCAAGCGCGAGCAGGGAACCTCAGGAGCTCACAGGCCAGCAGGCAGCACCAGGCTAGTGGCCCTTGGTGGCCCATATCAGGTGTCGGGCTCTCAGGGCTGGGAGCACAGAGGATGGTGCAACTGTCCAGAGGACGAGGAAGGGGTTGAGGCCGGAGGAACATTCCAGCAGAGGGAAGAGTGAAGGGGAAAGGGCTCCGTGTGGGGACACACGCATGGCCACTCACTGCTTCTCGTGGGGAACTCTGGGGCAGGAGAGCTTGCGTCAGGTGCCAGGCTCCCAGACCCGGCAGGAGGAGCCCCAGAGGTGTCCGAGTAGGAGAGGGACTTCAGAGGGGCCCCCTCTCTAGCTGCTCTGGAACTGGAGCCTGGACAGGCCAGCACAGTGTCGAGGGGCCGCACCAAGGCCCACGGCAGTTGTTTATGGAGAAAGGCGGCCACGGTGACTGCCTATGGAGTGAGGGGAGCAAGGCTGAAGCCCTGGTTCCTGGCTTGGGGGACCACGAGCCTGCCAGCCTTAGAGGGTCTCTGGCCCACTGCCTCTGCCTCCCCTGCCCACGGGCCAGCAACTCAGCAGCAGGAAGGTGTAGGCGGCAGGGCGGCTGCAAAGGAGAAGTGGGCCTGGGGTGGTGGGTGTGAGTGTGGGTGTGTGCTGAGGGCGTGGGGGTAGCCAGGGCAGGGAAAGCCTTTCTAGAGGCAGGGGTGTGGGGGTTGGGCAGGGCCAGGAAGCCTGGGCCACCCCCACCGTCGTCACCAGAGGTGCCACTGTTACTATCTGCTGCTGTCCAGCCACGACCAGAGCTCAGAGTGTTCCACGCACAACCCTCACTGCGGACCCCTGGGCAGAGGCGGGCTGAGGCTTGTGGGGACCAGAAGCAGCAGGGATCCCGGGACAGGCTGGCCCAGTGCAGCCAGGCCTAATCTCACAGGGGGCAGTGAGAGTCTAGGGCTGTGACTCCTCCAGCAGCCAGGGGAGACACCATGCTCTGGGCCCAGCCAGAGGGGCAGAACTCTTCTTCATTCTCTACCACGCACCTTGGCCGAAGAGGGGAAGGCAGGCTGCCTGGAAGGAGAGAAGCAGAATTACCCACTGGCCACCGCGAACTTTTTCTGGGCACCTACTATGTGCCACTGGGAGCTCTGGTGGTACAGTGCCTAAGGCACGTGACTGCTCACCAGAAGGCTGGCGGTTCAAACCCACCAGCCACTCCTCGGAAGAAAGGTTGGGCAATCTATTTCCGTAGTGAAACTGCCTCGGAAACCCAAGGAGGGGTCGCTATGAGTCGGGTCTGACTCTACAGCACATAACAACAACAACAACTATGTGCCACACAGGGTCAGGTGTGGGGCAGAGGCCTGTGGTATGGAGAGTGTGCGGGTCCCCAACTCAGACAAACATAAACAGGGGTGTGTGGGGGTCTGTTAGGTCTCGAATCTTCTGCTCGGACCAGTCAGCCGTTACAAGGAGAGATTTCACCTCAGATCAGCATAGTCAATGTCTGGTTATTTTTCAGTGAATGTGAGAGTAGAAAACATTTTAGGAAGAAAATCAGTAGAAAACTCAATTTTTTGGTTTTTTACGAAGATGATTAATTTGGGATCTATGAGGGAGAAGGGAATCTCCCTTAACCTTTGCCCCTAAAATTCCCTCCAAAACACCTTCTGACAAGACACCATTATGACGCCCACTTTTCAGATGGGGAACGGGGGTGCTGAGGCTCTGACCCAGCAGGCCTGAACTGGGTCTTTGTCCTTCTGACCGTGAAGCGTGGCCAGGGCCCTTGGTGCCTGGGGGGAAGGCTGGGGACGGGGAAACCCTCTGCACCCTTTAGACAAGCTGGGTCTCATCAGGGGCAGCCCCCAGGAATGGAGAAGCCCGGCCACCAGAGCGGGCTGTGAAAACGCCCTGAGACCCAGGGGCTCCGAGTAATATCTGAACACAAGCTCGTGAAAAAGCCCCTCAAACACCACAGGAGGGTGCTGAGCGGGGGGGGGGGGGCATTTCGCGCCCTCCCCAGAGGGAGCCCCTCGCTCCAGACTTGTTCTGGGGCTGTGATCGCCTGTGTGCCGTGTGGAAAGCTGTTGGGCGTTGTTTCACAAGGCGGCTTGTTCAGTGTGACTAGTTCTCTTCAGCCTTCCTGTCCCCTGCGGCCACATCTTGTTAGTCACAGTGGCTCCTCAGCCCCGCGGTCTGGTACCCTGAATGAGACCTGAGGGAGGGGTGGTCTTCAGGGGCCTGGGGCACCCCAGGTGGGCCAGGTGGTCAAGGCCTACACACCTCCATGACCATCCCTCTCTGCTCCTCACTCTCTCAGCCTTCCATCCTTACACACCTGCTGGGCTGGACTCCCACTTCCTGCTGCTGAGAGGCTGAGGAGCGGGGGTCCCCCTTCTGACCTGCCGTGGAGGGCCAGGAACCTCGTGGAATGTGGGTGTGTGTAGGGAGAGTAAGGCGTTGAGGCCGCAGCAGCAAGGGCCTGGGGAAACCCAACTTCACTTCCTCGAGGTCATAGATTGGATTCGGAAGAGGATGGGGTAGTGAGACTTGGTGATGGCCGCTCTGCCTTGGTCCCCACTGGTCTGGCCTCAATGGCCTCCTCGTTCTGACCCCCCAGGCCGCTCCCTCCTCTCCCCATGTCCACAGCCTGGACACTGCACCCTCCCTGCTGTCCCCTAAAAAGGAGACTTTCCAGTGGTGTCCCTGTTGGTCAGAGCGAACTCCCATGAGGAGAGTGAACCTCCACACTGGGAGTGCCCGGCCCACTGTTACAAGCAAGGTGAGACCCTCCAGGACCAGTGAGGGGACAGGCGACAGGAAGGCCGAAAACAAGTCTCGCTGCATAACCCCGTTTGTGAAACAAACACCCAACAAACAATTTTCCATATGGCACACACATGAGGACGGAAAGGCCCAGAACAAGCCTGGAGTGAGGGGCTCCCCCTGGGGAGGGCGGGAAGTGCCCCCTCTTACTCAGCACCCTTCTGCATTGTTTGAGGGGCTTTTTCCATGCACGTGTGTTCAGGAATCGCTCCCTTAATCGCAAATAAAGCTCCTGTCTGTGTAGGAGCTGCTGCTCTCAGCTCGCTTTCACGGCCAGGTCCGGGCCCTGGGCCTCCTGCAGGCCAACACCTCCGCCACGTCATCAAATGCTTAGTGAGCACCAACTGTGTGCCTTCGTGCTGTTCTGGGTTCCAGGGGGGAAAAAGCAGGGAACAGAGACAAAAAAAACAAAGAAATAAGCAGAATAACATAGCATGTGAGGAGGTGAGAGGTGCTGTGGGAAGTCAGGGAAGGCCTGGGAAGAGGCCACCTTGACCCCTGAGGCTGTCTGGGGAGGAGCAGAGCTGGCAGGGCCAAGGCAGAGCAACTGGGAAAATGGCAACTCGCTGTTCCAGCCTCACCACCTGTCTGGCCCCATGCCCTGTACGTCACCCGCTCGCCCCAGCCCTGTGAGGGAGGTGGCACTGCTGTTCCTATTTAAACAGAAGACGATAAAGGACTCGCAGACAGAATCAAAGCCAGGCAGCTGAGCCCGAGTTCTCCCGGTTCCACACATTTCCTTGTCCACAGCCGACATGTGGGGGCTCGGGTCCAGCCCTGGGGCAGCCTGTGTGTGTCCCCTGACAGAGGCTGGCCTGTGGCTGAGCACAGCAGAAGCAGACCCAGTCCTGGGGTCTCCCCTTTCTGGGCCTGGCCTTGCAAAGTTGTTATGTAGTCAGACCAGGTACCCACAAAATGTAGCTCCCAGGCCTACATTTGTTGCTGACATTCTCTGATGTAAGGGGGTGACCCCAATGAAGGCTGACTCCCACCAAGGTCAGGGGCACTAGGGACCACCCCCTTTCCTCCCAGAGCTGGCCCTCAGCTGCCCCGTCCCTGGGGTTACACTCCTGGCTTCTGCCCCACTCAGTTCTCCAAGTGCCTGCCAGAAGTCCTTTCACGGTGATGCTGTCTGCCCTCTGTGGCCCCAGGGGAGACTGAGAGGGAAAGGGTGCTAAGCCAGCAGGAACTTTGCAGAAAGAGGCCTTTCACGCAGAGCTGGCCCACACCCTTTGGAACTGTGGCTGGACTTTGCTTCAAGAAGTTCGCCTCACCCACCACACAGCTGACCCTCAGGCCAGCATTTGTGGAGGGCAAACTTTGGGGCCGGCCCCGTGCCAGGCTCCTTGGAGTCTCACTGGGCCTTACAAGAAGCCCCAAAGGGCCGAGAAGGCAAGTGAGGCTCAGAAAGGGGAAGCGAGCTACTGCCGACCCCAAGTTGGTGGGACTCAGAGGCCGCGTCGTTTCCCACTGCACCACTTCCCCTCTGTGGCCCGCGTGCCCGACTTCATCACAGGCGGGCCGCTCTGTCTCTGCTCCTGGGCGGTGGAGGAGACAGGACACCGGGCTGCTGGGAAGCCGCTATTCCTTGGCAGGGATGGGAAACACTATCAGGTTTTGGGGTCTGAGTGCCCCCTCGAGGTGAGCTCCCACGGGTGCACCCCAGAGCTGCCTATACCAAGTGGCCTGAGGGACAAAGAAACCTGGGCCTCTCTAAGCACCTTAGATACCTCATCTGCATTGTTGTTGTTTGCCATCGAGTTGGCCCGACTCATAGCGACCCCTCCTTGGGTTTCCAAGGCAGTATCACTACGGAAGTAGGAATGCCCAACCTTCCTTCTGAGGAGTGGCTGGTGGGTTTGAACCGCCAGCCTTCTGGTGAGCAGTCAATTAGCAGTCAAGTGCCTCATGCACTATGCTACCAGAGCTCCTATGCTGCATTGTTGTTATGTGCCGTCGAGTCAAACCCAACTCATAGCGACCCCTCCTTGGGCTTCCGAGGCAGTATCACTACGGAAGTAGGATTGCCCAACCTTCCTTCTGAGGAGTGGCTGGTGGGTTTGAACCGCCAGCCGTCTGGTTAGTAGGCAAGTGTCTTAGCCACTATGCTACCAGAGCTTCCCCTATGCTGCATAGTGGGGCCTAAATACCACCTTTGTCCTTGATTACCTGAGAGGCCCAGCTGGAGCATGTCTTCTCCAGGAGTCTCATGTCACCCAGCCCACTGAGACCTGCAGCCATGGGGTCCTTGCCCACCCTCAAGAACTGCCTCCCCAATGTAGCAAACGTGAGTGATCAACATGGTGGCACTGAGGAAGAGGAAGCCATAGAGAGGTGCATGGGAGGTACAGACAACAAAGATGAACCCTTTTGCACATATAGTACTGCGTTGTCAGTGAAGGCAAACATTGATCTACAGGTGGACAGATGGGTGGACAGGATGAACGATTAAGTATTTCTATGCAGGGAGGAGTGTGCCCAAGACCATGTAAAGGGTTGGCAGACAATGTTTCTACAAGTGTATTGGTATGTTCTACAAGAATTTCCAGGTATATAGTAGAGTTGACAAGTGACAAGGTTGTAGTCACTTCCTGGCCACAGCCAGCTAGCTACCCAGAGGGAGTGAGTAGTTGGACCTGTGGGCTTGGAACCATAGTCACAGGGGACATCAAGCTCAATTGGCATAACATACTACACAAAACATTGTTCCACCTCCTACTTTGGTGAGTAGCGACCGGGATCCTAAAAGTTTCCAAGCAGCCATCTAGATGCAATGATGGGCCTTTCCTCGTCCAGAGCAAAGAAGAATGAAGAAAACCAAAGATGCATGGAAACAATCAGTCCAAGGGACTGGTACAACATGTGATCCTCAGCCTATACAACTATGAGACCAGAAGAACTAGATGGTTCCCAGCTACCACTGTCAACCACTCGGAGGGGGATCTCTATAGGAGATCCTGGATAGAGAGGGAAAACAATGTAGAACAAAAGTAAAAATCATTTGGTGAAAAAAAAAGGGGGGGGGGAACAGATTTGCTGCTCTGATAGAGTCTGGTGGAACCACTGAGACTATGGCCCCTAGCTGCCCTTCAGGTCTGGAATTGAACCTACTCCTGTGGCTTCCAGCCAAACAAAGACAGACATATGAGCTAAACATTCACACTAGGTGGATACACTCCTTGGAGAGAACAATCATGGGAGAACAGAAGGGCTGTGTGTGCACAGGGAGATAGCTGGGAGGCAGGAGTGCATGAGAGGGAAGGACACAGGGAAGAGGTGGCTATGAGGAGGAAATGAAGGAAGAGCTGTTGCACTGTGGGAAATTGCAGTGAATGTCATGAGACAAAGCGTATGTGAGGTGCTGTATGGAAAGTGAATCTGCTGTATAAACTTTCACTCAAATCACAATTAAAAAAAACAAACACAAAAACTGCCTCCTATGTGACCATGGCCAGTCTGAGTGATCTTATATTTGCTTCAAGTTTTATATATATATATTTAATGGCTTCTTTCATTTCAACCCTGCCAACTAGCTGGGGAGAAAGGCATTAATCTGACCCCACTAGGATGGGGCACTGGGGCTCATCAAGGTCAGGTGATCTGTGTGTGGTCACGTGGTCAGTAAGCAGCCCAGCTTCTCCCATTTCCCTCCTCCTCCTCCCCACCTCAGCCCCAAAGCCAGGCACACCATCAGTGTGTAAAGATGGTCTCCCGTTCCTGCCTCAGTCTGCCTCTCGGACATTCTCACTGACCTCCATCCAGCCCTTGGCTCTAGATGCTGTGAGGCAGCCACTCTCAGGCCCCCCGGGGACATCAGGCCTGAGGGGCTACCCGACCTGCTTTCAAATGCTGCTCAGCCGTGCTGTGAGGCAGGGCCCAGTCAGCTCCCAGGCCCCTTCGGGTAGCTCTTGGCTCGAGGGCCCCTGCCAAGCTCGGCTGGGGCTGGCAGCAGGGACAGCCTCTTGTTCTCACAGCACTTGGAAGGCTCCCAGGCCCTCGGCTGGGGAATATGATGCCACTTCTCTTCTTAAATGGCACCAGGTGGCAGAGAAAATGTAGCACCGGGGCCTGAGAGAGAGAAGCGTGCCCCATGCTGGCTTGGGGGGGGCACGTTGCCCTTTGACTCCAGCAGAGACAGTGGGGTGCCCAGAAGACACAGCAGGTCCGTGCACAAGGCTGGCCTCCTCTTCACGGATGCCCCCCACCCCTGCAAGGCTCTGCCTTTCATGGCCAGGCTACTAGGGCTGGGCACACTGCAGGCACCTTCAGGGCCCGGGGCCGTCTCCACCCCAAAGGCTAGTTCCTAGGAGCTGCCGGCCTCTGCCAATGCCATCGGTCACTCCAAGGACTGGTGCAGAGCCCCTTCCTCCAAGTCTGGGTGCTCTGCTCAGCACCCAAGCTGCGCCCCTCCCCCCATAAACACCCAGGGAGTTTCTTGCTGAGGCCACCAGCTTGCTCAAGCCCCACACTCGTATCTGTGCCCCTCCCTTGGCCCTGGGCCCCTGCCCTCCCCTCTAGGAAGCTCCCCGTGCCAGGTGCCTGGCAGCCTGTCCTGACGCCTGGCCCAGTGTAGGGGTTGCGGTTCACGTGGCTCTTCCAGACACCGCTGCTTCTCAGAGCCAAGGCCTGTCCCTACCACTTTTGCCTGCCCGGCCGGCCCAGTGCAAAGGCCACATCTCTGCTCAGTGGTGTAGAAAAGCAGAAAGGTGACAGGAGGGAAAGGCTGAAAGGGCCAGAGGCTGGGTTCTGCTGTGGACCAGCTGTGACTGTGGACACGCTCTCACAAGTCTCAGTTTCATCAACTGTGACAGGCCTTGCAGGGCTGTTGGGAGGAAGACAGGAGCCAGTGCCGTGAGAAAAGCCCCGTAAAGTGTGACGTGTCCTGCAGACGTCGGTGAGGCACAGCCCAGCGTCTACAGAACCCAGAGTGCCCAGAGGTGCGGCTCTGGAAGGTGCCTACAGGAGGGAGGGGACGCAGGACCAAGAAGCATTCCAGAGGTCGGCTACGTGAGCTGTCAGCTGGCCTGTCCCTCACAAAGGGCCTTCTCTGCGCCAGCAGGAGCCCCAGCTGTGATGGTGACGTCGAAGCCAAGGCCCTGGAGTGCTGGCCCTGCCGGGGCTTCAGTGGGGATTGTCCTTTGGCCTGAGCACGGGGGGCAGGGCCTGGAGCTGTCAGGAAAGGAGCCCCCCGCTCCTCCCCCAAGCTCTCACATGGCACCGTGGGGCGGCAAGAGCCCGGCCAGGCTGACAGGATTTCTGGATCCCACAAATTCCCGATTAGACCCGAAGGAGGAGGAAAGTGATGGTTAACTGCACATCCCGCGGCCACTTCTCTCACGTGATTCTCACTCACCTGTGAGGCTGGTGGCTGGTGGTGGGCGTCCCTCTCACCAAATGCTGAGATTGTGGCTCTGAGGGGCTCCGGGAGCAGCACCAGGGTTGGGACTTAGGTCTGTGTGACTTTAAGTAACAATTACTACCCACTGAGGGCCTGCCTGGGCCTGTGCTGGGCATTAACAACTTTTATTGTAAAATTACAAATTAGAGCAAGCACACCAACAGGCAGAGGGGTGACACAGCCTTAGGCCCTTCCCCTGGATCATTCCATCCACTCCTCACACCTTGACAAAGCAAGTAGAACAACCTCCTTTCACACACGGGGAAACCTAGGCAGTGAGGCAGCAGCCGGGTGCTACAGAAACAGCAGGGCCCCCGGCAGTCAGATGGGGCCAAGCTCAGATGGGGCCAAGCTCCGCTCCCCGCTTAATTGGTCTGAGTCAGTTTCCTCATCTGCAAAATCAAGCCCAGTGATTTTCACACTGTTTTTAGCCACGGACCCTTTTGTTCAAATGAAACCTTAAGTGGAAGCGTAACATTTCAGGCAGATAAAGAGGCGGGCTCTGCCGGAGGGAGGGAGCAGTGGGAGTGGGGCTGGAGGCGCCAGCTGGGATCTGTCCTTCTGTCCTCTGTTCCCGCCAGAGCTCAGAGGAGCCCGCCCCGCAGGGCATCTGGGAAACCACAGACCGGTTGACCCAGGCTTGCCAGGCGCTGACGTGGGTCCGCCACTGCTAAGTGCTTATCAAGCCAGCCGGACGCCGTGCCGTGGGGAGGGGCTCGCGGAGGCTTCACAGGTCCTCCAGGGAGGGGCTCTCAGTGGTCCGCAGCAGCGACAGCAGGTTCAGGGCCGAGACACCGGGCACGTGGCCGGCAGAGACCAGCAGCATCCTCACCAGGCGCCGTGCCATGGTGGCGTGGAAGTCTTCTGTCTGAGAGGGAAGGCGGAGGGCAGTGGTGAGCCGGGCTGGCGGCCTGCCCTGCTCCCTCTCACCGAAGCAGCTGCACAGGCCACTGGGGACCCAGGAGCTGGCAACACGGGGCCACTCGGAGCTCCACTGCCCGCCCCAGCCATGCCCCCACCTGCCCTGTTCACAGCACACCTCACAGAGCGGCTTCCAACCCTTAGCTCACTGAATCCTTCAAACGACCTTCGCAAAAAGACCCCCAGAACTGACCCCCGCTCCAGAGGCAACGGGCCTGAGCAAGCAAGGCTCAGGGGGCTGAGGAAACGGTCCAGGGTCATACAGTTAGTGACCGTGCAGCCGGAGACTGAGCCAGGCCGCCCTCAAGCGTGCCCAGGCTGCAGAGCCACAAAGGCTCACAAACCCGGGGCCAGGAAGACACTCAGAGGGACGGGAAGGAGAAGAGGACAGAGGGGGTCCTCGGTGCCATAAACAAGAGTCGCTTTATCAGGCAGGCAAAGGGCTGGTGGGCACAGGGGAGCTGCAGGACCAGGCCAGGGCACCAAGGCGGTTCTAGGCCTTGGCCTTATCCTGGCGCCCGGCAGAAAGAGGTGACCTAGAAACACGCTGGGAGAACAAATGGTGAGGGCCAGATGTCTGCCCCCCGCCTGCTTGAACTGGGAGAAGAGGGGTGGCAGCCCCCAGCCCGTCGCCCAAACTAGGAACAGGGGCATCCTGGGCTCCTCCTGCTCTCATCCTGCCACTTTCACCCGTGACCCTGTGGTACAAACCCAGTGGTAACTGCCCAGTCCTCAGCTCACTGGCCCTCTCACTAACACCTGCCAGGGCTGTTCCCTCCCTCCTTCCTGAAACTCTTTTCCACCCCCCTTCCAGGGCCCCGGGGTCCCTGGGTGGCACGAACGGTTAACACACTCAACCCACACATCACACTCCAGGGACAAGTCTGACCACATCGTCCCTCTGCTCAGTCACCTGCAGGAGGGAATGATCTATCTCGCTGCACTTGGAGAGGACGGGCACTGTCTGAGTCACCTGTGTCCCCAGGGACGAGCACAGGGCCTAGGAAGGGACCTCACTGGGTGAATCACACCCTTCCCCCGGCGCACTTCCTCATCTGTAAAACGGGCCAATGGCTCCTGCCATGCAGGCCGGGCTCAGAGCCGGGGGTGCAGGTGTGTGAAAAGGACGGCACAGGTGTGAGGAGTGAGGACTGTCCAGACGCCGGGGGTTTCACCTGAGGGAACGGCAGGCCTATGTTCTGAGCAGGTGTTTCTGCAGGCTGCTGCTGCCGGGCCAGACGGGGCCTCCTGTGCTCAGTTAGCCAAGGGGTCCAACAGGCCTTTTCTGGAGAGGTCTCTCAGGCTTGACAAGAACTTGGACCTGGTATGGCCTGCCACCTCATGGCTACACACAGCACTGCACCCTCTCAAGGTCACCAAACCCAAAGCAAACCCGATGCTGTCATTCTGATCCACGGGGACACTACAGGACAGAGTAGAACTGTCCCGTAGGGTTTCCTAGGCTGTGGGTCTTTATGGACGCAGACTGCTACATCTTCCTGCTGTGGAGTAGCTGGCAGATTCGAACCACTGACCTTCCGGTTGGCAGCTGCCTTTCTTCAGCAACTCAGCACTTAACCACTGAACCAACAGGGTTCCTTGAGAGCAGAACTGGCCCATAGGGTTTCCTAGGCTGTAATCTTTACAGAAGCAGAGCGCCACATCCTCCCCCTGCAGAGGCTGGTGGGTTGGAACCACCGACCTTTCAGTTAGCAGCCGACTGCTTAACCACTTTGCCACCAGGGCTCCTTCGGCCGGTCCCACAGCTGGCTGAATGGCCACCCACAGACATCCGAGATGTGGAGCAGAGATGAGGATACCTTTTCACAGATTCAGAAACAAAGGCTGTGGGGAAGGGGGTGACTTGTTCAAGGCACACAGGCAGAAGGCACAACGCAGACAGACGTGTGACAGCCTGCTCCTACCACCTCCTTGGAGCTGTGTGACTGGGGAGACCTTGGCTGGAACTGCGGCACAGGCCTGAATCCGAGGAGATTCGCAATCCAGGGAGGTAAGGGGGACAGGAGGCTACCCCAGTTCACGAGGTGGACATGACGCTCGGTTCACGGTGCTTAGATCTCAGAGAAGTGTGAGATATGAGTACGGGGCGACAAACACACACACGTGTGATCTAGTTCTAAGTGCAGAGCAGACCGAGCTAGACAAAAGCAAGGAGCAGGAGGGGGGCCCAGCTCCTAAGAGGCACCCCCATTTTACAGCTGTACACCCTGACTGACGCCTAGGGTGACCTGCCCAGGGAATGGAAAAGCCAGGATTCAAACCAGCCTGCATTCAAAGCACCTCCCTCAGTGCCCCACAATCCTCAGGCAACACTCCCAAGATGCCCACCGGGGCTGCCTGGCCCTGTCCCACCCACGCACCCCTGGCGACTTCCTGGGGGTCTCACCTTCAGGTCACAGAAGAGCAGGGGGCTGCGGTAGGTGCGGGCCAGCTTCATGACGGTGTCGCGGTGAACGCTGCAGTGGCTCTCCTCGCCGGCTGCAAAGAGGCTGCGAGTGTTACCGGGCAGTGACCGCCACCTCGACTCTTCCAGCTCCGAGCCCCGGAGCACGGGCCAGTCCCTCCCTCCCCCTCTCCGGGGCTCTGGGCTGGCCGTCCTGCTCCCCCTTCTTTTCGGGGCAGCCAGGAAGGTCCAGGTCATTTGGACGTGAGGCTCGTCATCTTTAGAGTCAGGATAATGGTGGCCCCATTACCCTCAGTGAATGAGGATCCGGGAATTCGCTGGCCTTCTTTGGCTCACTGATGCCGACTGACAACACTCTGGGGCAGCCTGGCCCCCCACCCCAGGGAGCTCCCAGTGCCCACCCAGGCGATCAGGGACGGTGGAAGGGTGGGAGTATTCTGACAGACTGGAGGCCGCTGAGACAGACTGGGCAGGACGGCTTATCCCAGGAGGTGACCACTGAGCTGTGACTGGAGGTGCTCATGGAGGTCAGCTAGACACAGAGCAAAAGTGTATTGCGAGAAGCCGTGGGGCACGATCCTAAAGAGGGGAGGCTCTGAAGGACCGCATCGAGATGGGCATCTTCCACTTTTTAACCCTGCGGCCCCGGGCATGTTACTCAGCCTCGGGACCTCTGTCTTCTCAGCCATAGTGGTGAGTGCCCAGTAAAGGTTAAAAAACAAGAAACGTAAAACCTCCAGTTGCTGTCAAGTTGGTTCCGACTCACGGCCACCCCATGTGTACCAGCAGAGAACGGACCCCTCCTTGGGTTTCCGAGGCGGTATCACTACAGAAGTAGATTACCCAAGCATCCTGTCGAGGAGTGGCTGGTGGGTTTGAACCGCCAGCCTTCTGGTTAGCAGTCAAATGCCTTAGGCACTGTGCCACCAGGGCTCCTATTTGTAAGCAGAACACCAGGCCTTCCTTCGTCGGGACCTCTGACTGTATGCGAACTATCGACCTTCCAATTAGCGGCCGAACACGTCACTGTCTGCACCACCCGGGGTCTCCCAGTGACGGTCAGCTAGTACTCTTTCCACCGTCACTATCACAAAGTCTCAGGAACAGCGGGACATGTTCAGAGAACTAACCCTGACCCAAATTGCGGGTGGGCGAGTGGCGATGAGGCTGGACAGGAAGTAGAGGACAAACTGCCAAAGCTTTCGTGCCTTTACCGTGTTTCACTCTGAGGGCCACCAGGAGGCGCCAGGCAGCTCAAAGCAGCAGCCCGGTCACCTGCTCAGACTCGCTTTCAGAAAGAGTGACATCAGCAGGTCCTGTCCTTTCCATCACCCAGGCTGCCCCTGCACAGCCCTCGGGGCAGGGGTGAGGGGCACAGCGGGCAGTGCCAGGCGGGGGGCACACTCACCGCCCGTGGCCAGGAAGCACACCTTCCCCAGGAAGAAGCTGGCATCCACGTGGCACAAGGATTCTTCGACGTTCTGGAGGCTGGAGCCAGGCCAGGGTGAGAGAAAAGCAAAGGACAAAACCTTACAGCAGAGAAAGCAGAAAGGCCCGCTCCTCAGAGGCCAGAGAGGCCGGGGACGCCAGGAGGGCAACTACAGGAAGCAGCCCCACAGCAGGGCTTGGTCTCCTCGCTCTGAAACAACTTCTCATTACAAAGCGATTCGCGCTCGAGAGAGAGAATCGAACGGTAAATGTGTGTGGTAAAAAGTCAGCGTGCTCCTGCCACACTGCCCTTCACTTCCCTCAGGGACGGCTGCCAACACTTTAGAACTTGAACTGCTTTCACACACAAATCTCAGTGCCGCAGAGTCAATTCCGACTCACAGCGCCCCTAGAGGACAGGGCAGAACTGTCCCATAGGTTTTCCAAGGCTGTAATCTTTATGGAAGCCAACTCATTTTTCTCCCACAGAGCAGCTGGTGGATTTGAACTGCCAACCCTTTGGTTAGCAGCTTTAACCAAACTGCCACCAGGGCTCCTTTTAAATACTGATAGGTATTGCCAAACAGCTTTCCGATAAGGTTACAGCAATCTGAAGTTACGCCAATTGTATGAAAACCACCTTTCCCACAAATAAGGGACAGGCAGGCCTCCTGCGCCAACATGGTCATTCATTGGTGTCTGACCATTTTGGTCAGAAGGACGCCTGAGGTCAGCAGCAAAGGGGTGGGGATGGGAAGCAGGGGTCTTGCCCCTATGTGTGGCCATGAAGCAGGACCCTCCAAAGGCTGGATCAGGAGTCCTTCCAGTGAGCAGAGAGGCTCCGTGCAAAAGGCAGCAGATCTGGTGAGCCGGGACGCTGAGGCAACCTGGCCGAGCTCAGCATTTTCTCAGCTGCATTGGAGGCCTGCACCACAGGTGACCGGTCCACCTGGGTAGGGAATGAGGTCTGGGCTTCCCCTGATGCTACAAGGACTTGGTGTCTCCATGCCCCTGGGTTCCCAGGTGTTTCCACCCCAGTCTTGCCTCAAGGCCCGTCACACGACTTGATGTCAGCCCTAACTCCTGGGCTAGACCCTGGTCAGCCGTCCCTCCAGGATGGGGTTGCCTTCAGTCCTTTCCTGGGGTTTCCAGAACCACAGGGAGGCCAAGCTGAGACACAGGCATCACCCATTCCTGCTGCCACTGCTAGGCCTCCAACCTCAACAGGCCTTCACAGTCCTCTGCTCCTTCCCCTTTGACTGGAACATTCTACGTACTCCCATCTTCGCCTGGCTAACTGCTTCTCATCTCCCAGCTGTCGGTTTCAACCAAAGAGTCCACCACAAAGTCTACCCTGACCTCCCATACTGAATCCTCAGCCATCAGATGTCCCGTTTGTGTTCCAGCCCAATGCTACCTTCCTTAAAGCACATATCCCAAGTGCAGTCACTGTTCAGGAGTCTGACCTTCTTCCCCACTGGACGACAAGCCCCTTGAGAATAAAGGATCTGCCTCATTCAACTCTGAGCCTGGTGTCCAGCCTCAGAGAGTATCAGCCACACAAACTGGTGACGCCTCCGGGATTTATCAGTGTCTTACACACTGTACCCTGGTCCACCAGCCCCTCCTTCATCACCCCTTAGGTAAGCCCCAGGCAGTCGTTCCCTGCTTTCTCTCTTTCCCATCCTAAGTGACATCACTGGCCCAGCACACCTGAGCCCTGCCAGGCCCCACCCTCTGACTCTCACCTGTATTTGCTGTGAAGGTTCACCACAAACACAATCAGGTCGAGTCGGGGCCGATTCCCATCAGAGGGCAGAGGGAGGGACCTTGCCAAGTGGCTGGAAAAGAAAAGACAGGACCAGAGGTCTATGGACCCACTTCCCAGGGATGGTTCCCATGCCACGTGGCTTCACAGGGAGGAGGCTGTCAGGGGCTCCTCACCTGTTCATCTGAGGCTCCTCAGGCCAGCACAGAGGGCTGACACCTCCATTCACCTCCATCCCTGCTCCTCCCAGCCCTGTTGGTAGCTCACGATCACCTCCCAGGCTGCTCACACCCCCAGAACTAAGAAGGACCTGAGGGACAGGACACTGGGGCTCTCCCCAAGATGGATCACAGTTCGACTGCTTCATGTCTGGGAATCGCGGGCCCAGACACTAGAGCAGTGCCTCCCTCAGGCTTTGGGTTGGTTAGGTCCCTCCTCATACACCCACAGCTGCCTACATTCTGCCTCATCACACCATCTTCCCTGCTAGATGGTAAGCTCCACGCGGACAGGAAACCTAGAGATCTAGCTCATTGTTTTCACTCCTGGGGCGGAGGCTTGATGCCCAGGGCGCCCTCTATCTCCGCTGAACAGTGTTACACAGGAAGGCGTGGCCCCGCCTCCTGGTAGCTCCCTCCTACCTTCCCCACGTCCACTGAGCAGCAGAAGGACGCTACCCGTCGCAGCTACTTACATCATGAGCTGGGAGGTGCAACTCTCCTTAAGCATCGAATCCGCCAGCTGTTGCAGAACTGCATCCTCGGTGCCCACCAGCTGCGCAGAGAGAGAAGGCGACTGAGTAATGCTCGGGCGCAGCAGTCACTCTGGACCACGCCCTGGAATCCGGAGACACACGGACCAACTGCAGCCGCGACTCCTGGATTCCGATCCCGCCTCGGAGAGCGCCACTTACTGAGAAAGGACTCCCGCGAGGAGGCACAGACTGAGGGCCTGAAGTGGACAACTATTTAGACCGGCTCTGGTCGCTTCCAAGCAACGCTAACTACTCTCCTCGGCCCGTCGTCTGGCCGCTCGGCTTCTCCTAGCGGCCGGACTTCCAACCCCGGAAAATCAAGTCCGTGCTGGACGTTGCCCATCCACCCCACCAATCAGAACCCTCGAAAGAACCTCCACGCACTGATTGGTGGAGGCGTACTGCCGCCTCAGAGAGCGACTACCCAGATTGGTTCAGAGAGTGGGCTTCCCGCCCCCTCCCCACCCCTCCTCCGCCGGGACAGCGCGCTCCAGCTCCTCAGCGCAGAGGGAAGGGTAGCCGAAGCGCAGCTAAGGAAGGAAGGCAAGCAGGGGAAGCGACGTACCAAGATGGTGGCCGTATTCAGCCTAGGCAGCTTGTCCAACGGCCTCAGCACCGACATCCTAGCCACAAGCCGAACCGCCACTCTCGCGAAGCGCGCCCGCCTTTCAAACCGCTCTGAGGCCCACCCTTGGGCGGGGCCGAGGGACACGTGGCCCTTCTCTGGGCGGGGCTTCACCGCGTCCTCTTAAAGGAACCTCCTTTCCTGAGCGAAGTCCCAGCATTGGTCCCAGGCAGATTGCTCCTGACAGGATTGGCGTGAGCCTCGGAGAAAGAAAGCATGCAGTGATTTATTTGTTCACTTTCGTTCAATCGTGTTTATTCACAGTACTTTTAATTCCCTCCAAACCCGCCCCTCCCACGTCTACCCCATCGTAGTCGAAGGTGACTACGTCCTTACAGGTGCTCAGAACTAAAAACCTTGGGGGCATTCTTGTCTCCTTTTTCACACCCCACATCCAATGCGTAAACAAGTCTGTCAGTTCTACTGTCAGAACAGATGCAGAAGCTGCGCACTTCTCACCACCTCCACCACGCCACTGGATGGAGCCACTGTCATCCCTCACCGGGAAGGAACAACCTCACTGGCTTCCTGCCTCCACCCTGGCCCAGGGCTACTCAGTTCTCCACCCGCCAATCAGTCATTCTCTTAAAGCGGAAATCAGAGCAGGCTGCCTCTCTTATCAAACCGTCTGATGGCTCCTATCTCACCGAGGGTATGTTGCCCTGGAAGCCTTGCATTCTGGCCGCCGACAACCTCCCGGACCTCACCTCCGTCCCTCTCCCTCTACACCCCTCCACCATGCTGGCCTCTGGACTGCTCCTCAGATATTCCAAGCATGCTGCTTCCTCGGGACCTTTGCTCTTGCTGGTCCCTCAGGCTTGAATTCGCTTTCCCAAATAGTCACATGCCTTGCTTCTTCACTGCCTTAGTTACCCAGGGCCGCTGTCACACAAATACGACCGGTGGATGACTTCAAAGAACAGGAGTTTATTTTCTCATAGTCCGGGAGACTAGAAGTGAGAGACTAGTGTGGCTCTATGGAGAGGTCCTTTCATGGCTATTTCAGCATCTAGTAGCTGCCAGCGACCCTTGTGGAAGCATCTGTCTCTCTAGTCTGTCTTCCTCTTCTCTGTGTGTGTGAGTCATGTCCATTCTGCTGTTTTTATAACTCAGAAGTGACTAGATTTAGAACTCACCCTATTCGAGTATGATCTGATGGGTTTTGGGGAACATAATTAAAAAAAAAAAAAAAAACCCAAAATGCATTGCCATTGAATTGGTTCCAACTCATGGAAGTTGTCAAGGATTTCATTTTACTTGGATCCACAACCAATAACCATGGAAGCAGTTGTCCAGAAATCAAATGACATATTGCATTAGGCAGATCTTCTGCAAAAGACCCCTTTAAAGTAGTACAGTGTTAAAAAGCAAGCATGTCCCATTGAGGACTAAGGTGCACCTAACCCAAGCCATAGTATTTTTCAATTGCCTTGTGTGAATGGGAAAGCTGGACAATGCGTAAGGAAGACTGAAGAAGAACTGATGCGTTTGAATTACGATGTTTACTAATAACTGAATATACCATGGACTGTCAGAGGAATGAACACATCTGTCTTAGAAAAAGTACAGCCAGAATGCTTCTTGGAAGCGACAATGGTAAGACTTGATCTCACATGCTTTGGACAGATTATCAGGGGAGACTAAGTCCCTGGAAATGGACATTGTGCTTGGTAAAATAGGTTAGCAAAGAAGAGGAAGACCTCAAGGAAATGGGTTGACACAGTGGCTGCAACAATGGGCTTAGACATAGCAATGATTGTGAGGATGGTGCAGACCTGGGCAGTGTTTCCTTCCATTGTCCATAAGGCCCTAACAACAACAACAACAACACTAATTACAACACCACCAATAATTTACTCCTCTCTTATCAACTATCTCATTGTCTGATATTTCGCATTTAGGGCAACAGTGAATAATCTATTATCAAACGGTTTTGAACATTAGTGACATACTCCTGGCAGTAACAGATGCCAAGACACTGGCTGGGATGGTTAAGGTTATGCGTCAACTTGGCTGGACTATGATTCTCAGGGCTTTGGCAGTTATGTAATGATGTAATTTGGCAGTTAGTAATGAAGCAGTCATCCTAATTATTCCGTTTTGGGATCCTATGTGATTAGCTTCCATTTCCACATAACAACCTAGATTTTGAAATATAACCATGTAGATCAATGAGGAGTGGGTGTAGCCTGTTACTGTTTCACGGATGTTGTCAGAGACATGAGACTCTGAGATCAGAGATGAAGGACTTCATTGCTCACAGTAAAAGCAGTAGCCAGAGCCTCATATTTGTTTGTGTCAGTTCCCTATGTCCCCAAGTCCCACAAAGGGCCCTGCGTGATGACTGCACACATGTTGTTGTTAATTGCTTTCAAGTCAACTCCAACTCAGGGCAACCCCAAGTGTGCCAAGCAGACCTGTGCACTGTAGGATTTTTAAGGCTGTGACTTTTTGGAAGCAGATATCCAGGCCTGTCTTCCAAGGTGCCCCGGGGTGGGTTCAAACCGCCAACCTTTTGGCTAGCAGTTGAGTGCTGGGTAGTTTGCTCTAGCCAGGGACTCCTACACACATAACGAGTGGCATTTGCAGAAGAGGACAGAGCTTGCAGAGTCACTGCTTTGATACTGAACAATAAACATGGCTGCTTTTTCTCTAGGGTGGGGTAGGGTAGGGGGAGATGTTACCTCATCTCTCCAGGTTGCTTGCTGCAAACATTCCCGGGAAATGGTCTCAGTAAAGAGCTGTCAAGTCCTTTTTCTTTCTTGCATACTGTAGAATTGGAAAATCAGTAACAGGTATCTTACTTGGATTCTAAAGTTTTTCTTATTCATGAAACCAAATATTAATCATAAAAAAGCCTGACCCAAACTGCAAAAGCCCGTAGCAGCTGCTCCACAGAAATGTACTTGTCTTCTCCTGCTAGAAGAGGGTTGTCTAACTGTCATCTCCTAATGTAAACCTCATGGCTGCAGGTGGTCAAGGGCAGCCGGGCCAGAAGTAACCTGGGATCAGTTGCTCTCAGTAATGGGCGAAGGCAGTGTTCTATGACTCGTGTTGTATAATGGATGGCTTTGGGTGGCCTTTCTAGGCAGAGTCTTGTAATTCCCACCGATTGATTGGGTGAGACTATGGATATAAGAGCATCACAATAAATGGAGAGAAGATTGAGGTTGTCAAAGAATTCACGTTGCTTGGTTCTACAATTGATGCCAACGGAAGCAGTAGTCAGGACATTAGACGACGTGTAGCATTGGGAAAGTCAACTGCGAAGGAACTGTTTCAAGTGCTGAGGAGCAAGGATATCTCCTTGAGGACTAAGGTGTGCCTGACACAAGCCATGATATTTCCAATCGCCTCATATGCATGTGAGAGCTGGACAATGAATAAGGGAGACCGAAGAAGAGTTGATGCTTTTGAGTTGTGGTGCTGGCGGAGAATGCTGAAGGTACCATGGACTGCTAAAAGAACTAACAGATCTGTCCTGGAGGAAGTGCAGCCAGAATGCTCCTTGGAAGCAAGAATGGCCAGACTTCATCTCACCTATTTTGGTCATGTTGTAAGAAGGGACCATTCCCTGGAGAAGGATGTCATGCTTGGTAGGGTGGAGGATCAACGAAAGAGGGGGAGGCCTTCAACGAGATGGATTGACACGGTGTCTGCGATTATAGCAGGGATTGTGGGGCTGGCACGGGATCGGGCAGTGTTTCGTTCTGCTGTGCATGGGGTCGCTATGAGTCGGAAACGACTTGACGGCACTTAACAACAACAACAACAACAACACAGATATAAGGTGTTTGTGGCTCACTAAGGGATTGGACAGTTTCCTAATAAAGCAAATAAGGTTCATAGCATGCTTGTAGGGGAGTGGGACCATGCAAATAAGGTGTATGGAATCCTAATGAGGGGATTGGTCAGTTTTGCCATCCCACTCACTATTACCCAGAAAAAGAGATGAGAGCAGAGCTTGTCCTTTGGACCCAAGGCCCCTGCGCTGAGAACCTCCTAGACCCAGGAGACAGAGAACTGCAACACCAGAGATGGCACAAGATGGCAAGAAGGGGCAACAGTGCAGCAAACCAGGAGGCTGGCGCAAGGTGGCACGTAGGCTTCCAGGCCCACGGAGCAAGGTGGTTACAGTGGATGTGTTGACCCCTGGAGCGAGAGGGCTGAATGCCTTTGGCCAGGAGGGTTGCTGGTGGAATGGGGTACCTCCAGGCATTTGGCGGAGCTAGGCTCACAGACCAAGGCTCTATCCAGCTGAGCGCCTTTGGGCCAGGTCTTACTGGTGGACTGGGGGGGGGGTGCCCCTGGGCACTTATTGGTGGAGTTAGAGAGCTTTGTAACACTTGCCTGAGCAAGGCAGAGGTCGGCCGACCCCACAGACCCAAGAGGCCCAAGGGGGTGAGGACCTGAGGGCTGAGAGGCTGAGGGCCAGGGAGAGGCCTGCCTGTGGGCACAGCTGAGAAGCTGTCCTGACTGAAGAACCATAACCTGAGGAAATATATCCTGAGTCATTCCTGATCCTGAATTGTAACCGGTTACTGCCCTCATAAACCCATAATTGTGAATATGGTCTATGAGCTCTGTGTGGCCATTGCAAAGAATTACCAAACCCAGCTGAGAAGTAGTGAGTGCAGTAGAAGGGACAGCTGGTGTCAGAACTGGTGAGAAGGTTGGAGAAAGGAAGTATGTCTGACCTCTGCCTCAGGAATCAGGCCTGAGCTGTCGATCTTGAGTCTTTTTCACCTTGTGAAGTTAGAGGAGGTCATACACCCCCACCATGTCATTTTCACATGTTGAGATTAGCCAGTGGCTGGTCTTTTGTATTTTTCTCTCCTCTTTTTTGTCCCCCCTCTTCACAAGCCTCATTGTTCCTAGTTTCTTTGAGCCATTTGCTTTTTTTCTGGAATCAAAATGGTTTCCTTATAGCATACAGATGAGCCACTCCTCGGAAGGAAGGTGGTGCAATCTACTTCTGTAGTGATACTGCCTCAGAA